TCTGAAAAAAAAGCCCTTTTAATAGCAAAGTTTTAGTTCAGAAAAAATGTCCATAACTCATGAACCACACGATAAAATTTGTTTGAATTGTGCATACAGGTGACATTTAAGGCATATAACTGTCTTATGTTATCAATTTTACAGTTCCTAATAGTGCCCATTAGGGGTGTACTACCTTTAGACAAAAGGAAAGGCGGATGGTCTCAAAAGGCTAAAACTATCGCTGGAAAAAGTGAAGGAACCATAGAATATCTTATTGTTTTGGAAACGACAGACAGACAGACATACAGACAGACAAAGGACAGAATGATAAGAGGACGGACATAGTAAAGAGACTTGCGGGTAGATCTTTTACTATTATATCAAAACTCCATATTTTGACGCCTATTGTGTGGATGTTTACAATGAAATAATTGGAGATTATTTAATTAACATTCCAATGATAATTTAGCAAATTTAGGATGACTTTCCAACAAAGGCAATATTGACTCTGAAGGACGCTTTTTGTCTTCACATCTGTCAACAATTATATGGCCTGTTAGATCATTATCGATCGATAGGGTTTAAAAGAGAGCATTGAAATGAATTGGCAGATAGCATTTATGCTTGTTTAAGAAGGAAGTGGTCATTCCTATGGTATAAAGTGGAACACAATTATCATTATCATTAATATCCTGAATCAGCGTTAAATATTATGAATGCCAGATACTATAGGAAAATACGTTAAATCGGAGAATACACAAACTATTGAATATTTGTTGAAATATATATCTCAGCAAAGAGATTATTTTGAGGTGCATGACACTATATATCGAGATGGATAGGAACGCATTTCGATCGAAAATCAAATGCGTAATAGTATTGAAATGAAATATCTTCAATGATACAAACAATGGATAAATCAATAAGAAAATGGCATAAAGCAGCATAATAACTTACTAGCATATTCAAACAACCGTAGAAAAACACATCTTTTCCCGCAATATCTGACTGTGTAGAATAGCATCCCTGAATTACGAAAGAAAATCGTAAATATATAAGTGGAAATAACAATTGCATTGTTAAAACTTAATATAAAGATTGAATCGGATTGACTAATCGTTTTAATATGAAACACATTTCTACGTTAAATGGCCGATATTCAATGTGAATCATTTTTATTTACATCCATGCGAATTAGTAAAATATGTCAGAATTAAGAGAGGATGATCGCCTGACGTTTGTTTACGTCACGGTAAAATGGTATTTACTTATTTTTCATGATGCATTTCAGTATTTTAACTACATATTAACATGTACCATATTCAAGGCATAAAGTTGCTGATTCAAATGGTACAACATTGTTTATTTTAGTTCTTTAACTTTTCCCATTAGAAGTATACTTGCAGAAATATTTCATGGCAGCAATATTTTGATGAAAACATAGGGTAACACTTCACAATATTTCTGCAAGCCTATTGTGAAAAGAACAAGAGCTTAATCTGCAAATATATTCACATATTGAAAAATATAACGAAAAAAAAAAGAACAAAAAAAAAAAGAACAAAAATCACGTGCAAATCAAAATTCAAACATAAAAATATGTAAAAAGGAAACATTTAAAAGGAAGGATCATTAATTAATATTATTAAATTCAAAATCATATCATTGTCATAAGCTATGTTTTAAACATCATTCAATTCCAGAAATATCCATAAAAACGAACGTGGCGTAAATTAATGTTTAATAGTTTTAGAAAATCTAGAAAAAGGAATTTTCCGGGAGCCATAAACAAAAGGGCCATAAGGGCATTAAAATCGCTCACCTGAATATAAATTCTTTAACAATAAATAAATTAATAATAATAATAATAATAATAAAGAAATAATTGTAAACTTAAACAAAAAGCAAATATAAAATCTAAATCTTAAAAATTGCAGATTAAAATAACTTGTAGCTTTTGCTAAGTGAAAACAACAGTTAGGATAAATCCTGGTTAATACGGAAATATTTTAAATGGCGTTCGTAAGAAACTTTCTGATAGACAGAAGAGTTATGTTATCTGCTATTTGTCGATGTAACTATTTGAAATATATAATTCTCTGTCATTATCGTTTCGAACCATTGGATTTCTGGACAAAAGTTGCTGTATTAATATTTATATGTTTAATGTGAAAACTGATATATACGGGCCCAGTACTGAAAATGCTGACAGGTGGTACGTAAAATACGGACATATTGCTTAATGATATGGAAAATACGGACACTTTTAGATTTTTTTTAGAAAAAAAAAATATGAAACAGACAAAGAACAGATCTGCATATATTCAAAAGATATATAATTTCATTGACAATAGAACATTTCATAGGGCATTACAAAAATTTGTTCAACTATTAAAATATTCCTTTTTCAAATATTAACATTAATTTAGTATTTATTTTCCAATTTATTTCTTCGTACAATTATTACTATTGGCAAAGTAATTCATGTCTGTTAGACTTAAATATGAAATACACAAATATCGATTGAATTAGCACAAAAAGAATCACAGGCTGAAACTTTCATACACTACAAGAGTGTGGTTGTATAATAATATTACAACCTCTTTGGAAGTTTATTTTTGTAGATTATTCCGTTCATAATTCATTCAGAATAAATCTGTACAAAAATTCAGTTATTTTTCAATTTCTTTTTCCAGAGCACAGCCCCTTTTGCCTTTTTATTTTCTTTTCTGCTCCAAAACATCTAAGCTTGAAAGCAGTTTATGGCTTGTCGGCTTAGACTGACACTTTGCTACAAACTCTGAAAGTTTTTCAATTTGTGGTGGCAGGAATAATATCCATGACAAAGCGGCTAGTAAGCCTAAGCGTTAACGGACCTGGAACATTTATGTCTCAAATTTGACCAGTCAAGGTATCAACTCGTTCAAACAAGATACTGTCATAAGAAAACATATCATCTCCATCGATTAATACACTGTGTGTAATAGGCTGTGTGACTTCTTCAAATAATTTATTGATTGGAGACAGCAGACTCAGTTCCATTATGGAGATATTGCCTTTAAGTAAAAGAGGTTCTGGCGGAGGGATAACTGGTACATAGAAAATATTTTCCGAAACTATGAGAGGCTTGAGTGAAATAACAACGTGTTCAACGGACATATTTTCCGATGGGACTAACAATGTCTTCACGTGACAGTTGCTGAAGTTGAAACAGGTCTAGCGACGGGTAAATTAGTAAGCTTACTTGGACAGAAAGCCTGTGTAGGTACGGCGCACCTATTTAGAGGTACCACAGGCTTTTAAACCATTTGGACATTTGTTAATGACCCATCATTTTCCCAATCATGTGAAAATAAACCATTTTCCTGCAAAACGAAGAACATGCACCAGTGTACGCCTTTTTCAACGGTCCAAAAATGTGCGGTCTAAGGGTTGTAAAAATTGGGGTGGTAAACTCAGGAGGATAATATTTTCTTCAATAGCCCGTTCTATTATAGCGAAACCATTATGCAATCCATGACCATCCATCATGAGAATTTTCGGACGGCCACTTCCACTGTGTTTAAGGTGGACTGTGTTAAATTAGTCTTCAGCAATATCATCCGTTATTCATCCATCCTATTGAAATTTTCAGACAAATTTGTAAGGGGCTCTAAGCGTATAAAATCCCAGCAAAGACCGTTTGGTTTTGCCTTTGATGATAAACATGGGAGGCATGCGATCACCTGTACTGTTAACGCAAAAAAAACAAGAATAAAGATAAACACGGTAAAGGCAACGTTCATAGTACGCATCCTCCGACACACCCAAGTAGAGCACCCAGAAGACACCCAACAAAGTACTTTCCACGCACTTTTGGATTTAACATGTGTGCTCTAACAAATGACAATTTCTCGGATTTTCTCAAAACAAGGTGTGAGAATCGGCGCTTCCAACCTTCGAACCATGCTTTTTGGCTTTGAAATCATTATAAACGGACTTGATTTTTAGTCGGTCGCACAGTACACGTGTTCTTCTTAACAGTTGTTACCGGCTAGGGCCAAACTTAAGATAAGCAGCTGCCATGACTTGTGTTCAAGCCATGTTTTCAAGACTTGCGATCACCAATCGTTGACCTCGGCGTTTTTAACTGTTTTGCCACATTTCGTACGTACATCCCGGTTTCAACAGCTCTGGTGGTGTTTTCTGGGGATGTTTTCGCCCTATTCTTTAAAGAATAGAATTTTGGCATCCTGAAAAAAGAATGAAAGCCTGGGATGATGAGGTTATATAATAAAAATGTCAAAGGGCTTACGGATATAATAACGTACCTTGACAGACTGAGATATAAGAGGTTTAGAATTATATGTTTTATTTAAATGTGTTTGATTAACACTTTAAATAATTATCCTTAAAAAAAAAAAAAAAAAAAGACTAAAATGGAATAAATTTTACATCTACAAGAAGTAGCCATTATATATTCAGGATTAGGTGTTAAATTTAGCTTGTGTGCAATGATTATAAAATATTATTACAATTAGAGTAATTAAGAGTAGTAAATTGTTTTAAAATTCGTCAGTTTTATGCATCTCGAGAAAACGTTTTCATTTCTCTTTTAAATTTGAATATGTTAACTGCTTGCCAATCAAGTTGTCATTTAAGAAAACTGTATTAATTATTATGAGAAGGCAATAAAATCACTTCCAATTTAAGACTTCAAAACCAAGGTGACTTATATTTGGTGCACCGCCAACCGGTTTAAAGTCCATGTTTTTGTGTCTTCTGGGTGCCCTGCTTGGGTGTGTGTGTGTGTGGGGGGCTGCGTCCTTGGAACATTGTCTTTACCTTGTTGATCTTTATTCTTGTTCTTTAAACTCCCCAGCTGCTGACCGTTTCAAGCAAGGCGGCGCCCCTCTGCGATCCTCAGGGCCCGTGTTCACTAAGAAAAGATCAGGATCAAGTGATCCTGAATTTACTTTCATTGTTTTAAGTTACTAAAATTAATCGTGTTTTGTTAAAATTAAAAGATAATATTCAAAATGTAAAAAATTGCAAAGACACAAAACTATTTTTGGATAAAATCAACAAATAACAAAACAAATACAAAAATATTCGAATCAAACTAGGGATTAATTTTTGGATCAGGATCAGTATTTGGATCAACTATAAAATGCCCCAACTTGCAAAAATAACAATAAATTTATTCTAAATGTTCATGAACTTGCTATTGCAAGTCCAGTTTTATCAAATTAATATTAGATATTTAATCTATAAAGATAAACAATTAAGAATATTAGAGTTTTTAAATTTGTTCCTGATCTTGATCCTCATCCTTAAATATTTGTGAATACGAGGCCTGGTGTATGTCTATGTTGCTTTATACTGTTTTGGTGACACTTTTGCTTGTGCCCTGTGTTGCTTTATCGTTTACGGTAAGCATCTCCCCCTTTGCCCCTAGTTTTATTTCTTTAATTACCCACCCCCACTTCCCCGGGTCTCCTGTCCCCTTCCCCTGTGCCCTTTGATTATGTGGGCCTTTTATTCAATCATTTATTTGTTTGCTTGTATTCCTTATCAGTTACAAAACTTTTTCCTCTTATTCAATCATCATTGTTTTCTTTAAATTCCTTATAAGTTACATTTTTTTTATAAATGTATTCATCATTTTTGTGATTAGCATGTCCGTGCTCTGCCTTGTGCCCTGTTTTTGTTAGGGGTCCCCCTGGGCTCCTTGCCACTGTTTCTTGTTGCTGGGTCGTGTGGGGGTTGCGTTCGTTTGTTGATCTTGTTTATCATATTTTATTTACCTATACCTTGGATTTGAATGTTCAAAAAATAGCTCGGAAGCGTAGATGTTTTCTGTAAAGAATGGATATGACGTCATGATACCTTTTGACATCATAACTGTTAGACATATTCGAATACGAATATGAAAATAAGCGACATAGTCATTTATAGACAAGGCGATGTGTGTAGCGCTGACGATGATGATATGTATGTTACTCGCTTCAGTATCTATCAAATTGTCCTACATGAGAAGTACTATACAAATTAAAGGTTTCCATGGAAGGCAGTGCCTGCTATAAAATAAATGAAGATAAGATAGTGTTTTCTATGGAAGTCACTCATTGTTATGAAGTTGTACAGTTTTTTTAAGTCAGTGGTTGCTATGAAGACTCTGGTTGCTTTAGGAACTAAGCTAAGCTTTTGCTTTTGTAGATTTAGATTTTAACCATATGCAAATAAGAAAACTTTATATTCTCTGGCATCAATTTTGACATGAGAACTATTATTTGACAACAAATGTAGAGGTCAATTATAGAGGACATTTGGGCATTAGATTTATGATATAAAACATAAAAAATGTGAAACAGGTTTTTAACACAGGGGACCGCCTCCGTGGTCGAGGGGTTAGAGTCGATGACTTTTAATCCAGTTACCTCTCTGGCGTGGGTTTGATCCCCGGGAGATGCTTTGGTAGTTTAGCGCGGAGGAAGGTAGTCTAGTACTGGTGTAACTCTCCAGGAACGATGGTAAGGAAACTACCCGCCTATATGACTGCAATACTGTTGGGAAAAGGCGTAAAATGAAACAAACAAACAAACAAACAATTTTAACACAGGAATAATAACTGCAGTTTAAACCCTTTCACTGACATAGGGACGGCTTAAGCCGTTCCTGTTATTTTCGGCGTATTTGCCATATGGACGGCTTTAGCCGTTTCTATAATAATAATAGTAATAATAATAAATTAATTATAATAATAATAAAATAATATTTAATATAAAGAAAATTATACCATCGACAATAATTATTATTATACTAACAGATTTGGAAACATATATAATTATTATAATACTTATAACAAATAATAATAATTACATTAATTAATAATATAGTAATTTCTTAGAAAATCTTCTGGCACAATAAAACAATAACCCTCTGGCAGCGAAAGGGTTAAATTTACAGAAGAAACACAATAAAATTATAAAATAATTACAACTTACAGAAAGCTTGGGCTTATCACCAAATGATGTTTCGTGCATTCACCATAGTAAATTGTAGTATTTACAACAGTAGCAATTTGCTTGTTAATACACTGTTATATCATGGAAGTTAAAGTGCCACAGTACTTACTTTTAGATATTCTTGCAATATTTGCAATATATACGATTATGATATGGAAGACTGATAAATTTATTCTTAATCAAATAAATGTTTTCTTCATATCTTAAATAATCATAAATTAAAACATGATAATTATAAAATCTTTTTTTATTTTCCTCGTATAAATGCAAAACTTTACATTATTTTACTAAAGGGAGATAGTTAAGCCAGAATGGAAGACACTTTAATGCCTATATGTATATATATAATGAATAGCCCTAAAGCAGATCCCAGTGCTTTTATTTGAACGAACTTGAAAGACACCCACTTAAACACGTTTCATTCTAAATATTTAAATTCTAGCCTTTTTGGTTTTCTACAAAGAGGTTATTTTCTTTTACAATATATACCAATTAAGGAAAGTAAAAGACCACCTGGGGCGGGGCTAATTTTGACCCTAGGACATACTTGGAAGATATTCACTAGAAGATGTTTCATGCCAAATATCTAAGCTCTAGTGCATTTAGATTTTCACAAGAAGATTTTTCAAGTTTTTACTATATACATATAAGGAAAGTCAATGACCCCTTGGGCCAGGGCAAATTTTACTCTAGGGCTTTTAAAAAAACTTGGTAGACGTTGACTAGAAGATGTTCATGCCTGCCAACATGCCAAATATCTAAGCTCTAGCTTTTCTTTTTTATACAAGAAGGTTGTTTATTCTTTCGGTTGCCGTGTCAACTAGAATGTAGCCTGTAATAGAACTCTGTGAATAAATTTTAAAGGAACATTTCCTGCTTAGTTTTAATAATATTGTCCTATTTGTATAGGAGGCGTTGTTCTTTTAAATGTTTGACGCCATTTTGTGAAGGACGCACAGCGCACTATGCACTTCGAACGACGCACGACGGATGCAGAAGATCACAAAAGCTCATCCTTGAGCACTTTATCCGCAAGTGAGCTACACATATGAAAATTACTGACTCGGTTTTAGTGAATCTGTTTTTGTGAGAGACAATGGTGACTAGAAGAATATTTCTTACACCTCTAGCCCCGATTGAAGCTCATTTAAGTTATTAACACTTAAAGAATTGGAAAGTATAAATAATATTTACATACTAAAAATAAAAGAAATTAAACTTTGTTATTCATATGTATCAACAGAATCTATACGTACCTCATTTACGTTACATGTATCGAGTGTTACACAGGAGTCTGAATCTTTTACTTCGGATTGTTCCGAAGACCTATGATCACAGCTGTAGCACTGGGTATTGTTTAACGTGTCTGAAAAATTGAAATCTTTAAATTGAACGGTTGAAATAACTTATTTAAAAGTATTATCTTTTGTTGTTTGAAAATAAAAAATCCTTTCGTCAAATGAACGTTATGCTTTTCTTAGTTTTACTTGATAATACAATGAAGAAATTCGGCCAAAATTAAGATTTAAAAAATAAACCAGGCTAACCTATTACAATTCGCCACACGGTAGATCTAGAACGGATGCAAATGGATTCACCATTAGGAGAGAATATTTATGTACATGTTTGTGAGCGGTAAAATGGAGTTCAGCGACATATTGTCTTGAGCCCAAAATGCAAACATGGGGACACGAATTCCATCAAAATTAAAGCCAAAGACGAAAATAAAGATAATGTATATGTCGAAAGCAAATTAAGTGAATCATAGACAAATTAGATGGGATAATTTGGAAGACGTGTTAAAACGTACCATCTTTGATTCCACATAACCGTTTATTACAGTCTTCTCCAAATGCACAGCACCTACAAAGCAGTTGATAAAATAATGTAATTATGTTACACGGTTAAAACGGTGATTACAATATACTATTGTAAAATAGTTACATTTTCATGTGCAGTTATATTTTACCAAAAAATGTTGTCGTTTCTTTATTTTGATTAATATATTAATAAAATATTTGTTGAATTCTAACTGTTGACATTTTCAATATTATGTTAGGAATTCTTTTTTAAAGTTCTGAAATGAAGAAATATGTATATTTTCAATTAGCCAGGCCGCTGGCATGTTTATAGTAATTTACTTATCTAACACATTGACAACATTTGTTTTATCAACAATTTTGTCAAGGGTATTAATTTGATGTTTAATTATCTTATTATCTATTTGACTTAAAGGAAGGAATAAACAGTCAGCTGGCTTTTGACAGCAAGCGTAGCATTAGTCTTATTTGAATCTTTTAAACTGGTGGAATCGATGATTTCTGAATTATGCTATTAACGGCAATTTCTGGTGTCGTTAAATGCTGGTCCTTTCTTTGTACAGTCAGATGTGTTAAGACTCCTGGGGCCGTATTCATAAAGAATCTTAAGTAAAAAAAACTCCCCTTAACTCAAAGTTTTCCCTTAAAATCATACATTTTTCCCTTAATTTATAAGGAAAATCTTAAGATTCTTTATGAATACGGCCCCTGAACTATATACGCGCACTTTAACTAAATGAACGAAAAATGAATAATAATTTTTTGAGCTAAAATACATTTTGTTTCAATAATGTTTGTTGTTTATGGTATATACCGTTCAACACGAAATGTAATATATTTCAAGGCATCAAGTCACATTTGATGGTGTTTTTTTTCATAATCCTAAGGACAGTTCTCGAACGTTTCGAAAAACAAACCCCATAGAATGCATGGATTTGTACGCATGATCCGGCAAAAATAGGCTACTAAATGTTTTCGTGCATTCACCATTCATCTTTCGGATATATACACATGTATGAAATTAAATATATTTGTGTCATAATGTTCTTTATTTCTATTATTCTTTTTTTAACCTTTTCCCTTATATAAGCGTGTTTCGACGGCTTTTACCCCCCTTTTTTGAGGCCTCAAACAGTGACAAAATGCCCTATTAAGGCCCCAAACACTGTCTTTTGTTTGAGAAATGTTGTTTAAAAAAGTGACCATTTTTTCGGCGCCGTCCCCCATCCAAATATTACATCAGGGGGTTGCCAGAAGGGGGATGTGCCCCCTTCTGTTTGGGGGGTTTGAAGGGGGGCGGAGTCCCCCTCCTCGCCAAGAAAATTTTGGACTTGTGAGAGGCTTAAAATGACCCCAGGTCGATCATAAGGTAACGTGTAACCAACGCTGAAAAGCCTTTGACTCTATCTCATTCCCTTGAGAAGTTGCAGCACTTTGAAATAAATTTTGATGGAAAAAATCGAGGCAAAAAAGTGATTTTTGGCAATTTTGAGATGTCCCCTCGTTGCCATGGTAACAGGAAATTTAAGACTGAGCATGTCGTTACAAAGGCAATGGTCCAGTCAACATTTGTGCCAAGTTTGATTAGTATTGAAGCATTTTTCATAGTTTCATAGCAGTTTGAACTTGTAACAGGACGTTTTTAAGTGAAAATGGCCATTTTTCACAATATGCTCATGGGGGAAAGGGTTAATTCACTTACACAATTTTTTGAACTGCATGCATCAGACAAGTTGCTTTATACATTTTAATGTAATTTCAAATATTACCTTGAACACGCTAACAGGTTACTACGTTTCCCTCCACTAACGTCACACACCTGTTTATATATAAAATTTCATAATAAAGTTGACTTATTAAGAAATATGTGTTAATGTGTTAAAGGAATGAATGTCCTTAGTCCTGAAAAGAATCAATCTAATAGACACAAGAGGGCCATAATGGCCCTGAAGTCGCTCACCTGTATATAGGCCCCCGGAGCGGGGCCAGTTTAAACCCCAGGGCTTTTATTTGAACAAACTTGGTAGACACCCATTAGAAGATATTTCATGCTTAACATCTAAGGTCTAGCTGGTCAAGCTTTTTTCTTTACACATATAGTTAAAAACAATGAAACACCTGGGGCAGGGCCAGTTTTGACCCAAGGGCTTTTATTTGAACAATCTTTGTAGACACTTACTAGAAAATGTTTCATGCTCAATATCTTAACTCTAGCTATTCGGGTTTTTCAAAGAAGACTTTTAAGTTTTTGCTATACACATATAAGGAAAATCAATGTCAGCCGGGCGGGGCCAATTTTAACCCCAGGGCTTTTATTTGAACAAACTTGGTAGACACCGATTAGAAGATGTTTCATGCTAAATATCTTAGCTCTAGCTTTTTGGGTTCTTTAAAATAATTTTTTTTAAGTTTTTACTATATGCATATAGGGAAAATCAATGACCCCCTGGGGCGGGGCCAATTTTGACCCCAGGGCGTTTATTTGAACAAACTTGGTAGACATCCATTAGAACATGTTTCATGCCAAATATCTAAGCTCTAGCTCTTTGGGTTTTTTAAAAGAAGATTTTTTAAGTTTTTACTATATGCATATGGGGAAAATCAATGACCCCCTGGGGTGGGGCCAATTTTGACCCCAGGGCTTTTATTTGAACAATCTTGGTAGACACCGATTAGAAGATGTTTCATGCTTAATATCTTAGCTCTAGCTCTTTGGGTTCTTTAAAAGAAGATTTTTTAAAGTTTTTACTATATGCATATAGGGAAAATCAATGACCCCCTGGGGTGGGGCCAATTTTGACCCAGGGCTTTTATTTGAACAATCTTGGTAGAAACTCACTAGAAGATGTTTCATGCCATATTTCTAAGCTCTAGCTCTTTGGGTTTTTTAGAAGAAGATGTTTAAAGTTTTTTCTTTTGTTTGCCATGGCAACCAGAGTTCTGCATGGAATGGAATTCTTTGAACAACTTTGTTAAGGCTTCACACAAGGAACATCCCTGTGAAGTTTCATTATGATCTGCCTTATGGTTTCAGAGGAGATGTCGTTTGAAAAGTGTGAACGGACAACGTACGACGGACGACAGACGACGGACGAGAGTGATCCTAATAGCTCACCCTGAGCATATGCTTAGGTGAGCTAAAAATAATATCATGAAGGGAATGTACAAATGTACAGCTACATTGTGGGTCTTTATTTTCCGAAAGAAAAAGTGTGTGTGTGTGTGTGTGTGTGTGTGTATTTGTGTTCCTGAGTGCGTGTGTGCATGTGCATGTGACTATTCAATGTTATATCTATTGATACAATGAAATCATTGTATATGCATATAAAAGCTCGGTGCAAAATGACAAAGTAATTATGTTTCACATGCAACTGTTTTGGCTGACGCTTGTTAGCGTCTGATCATAGCTTATAGCAGCATTTACGGCAGATCACGCCGTTTACTTTTGTGTCCAATGCATCTTTATGGAAAAAAATACATACGCATTCGCAATTATTTTCCAAGACATTCAAACGTAATTGCATGCTTAAATAATTTATTGACATCAAGATAAAATATAGCCCATTAGCTAACTGTAAATTTAATAATTGAAAAAAAAACCCTTTCCCGAAAGCAACAGAAACAACATGGTTTTGTAAATTTGAGTTTTTCTAAAATGTATGACTTGTACAGACAAAATCCGACAAATCATTGATTAATTAAGACAGAAGTCATTAATGGACCATACTTGTAAAGTCTGTTTTATATTGTATGTAATAACTGTATATCCAGTATCGCAGAATGCGCAAGAAAAAGTAACGCGCATCTAAACATAGACGGTGCCATAGAGGTATGTAAAACACACTGACATGCAGCTCAGCTGTATATTGATTTTATGAAATCAAATTAGAAAACAAGAATGAAAAACGTACACTCTTAGCTCTGCAGCCGCCGTTATATACAACTGTAAGTTGATCTGTTATGATTTCATCCATGAAACATTTCTGTAAAATGCAACATATTTTGACATTGACATTTATTTAAATTGTATAGTGTTATTGTCTGAATACTTTGGAAAAATAATCAATGTATAGTAACAAGTGTAGAATTCGAAAATTATTCATAGTCGATATATTCATATTTTTGTAAATGATAAAGAACAGAATATGTTACCCTTGGCAATGCTAAATAATACTGGAAATGTTGCACATTTATTTATAAATTTTATCACATTATAGTAGATTGGTAATTTTTTTCTAGATAATCTTAACATTAATATTTCACAATGTATTATGAGAGTACGTTACCTTACCTCGAGTGTGGCGTCACAAGTAACAAGACTGTTACAATCAGCCAATGTTCGCGCTTGGTTACACAACCGACACTTAATGGTGCTTAATGGTGACACAAGAGTAGCAAACCCTGAAAAAAATATGATATTCGTCCTTAAAAAAACAAAAAAAACCGATTGATGCCACAAACAAGATTATCCATTTTCTGTTATATATGGTGGCTGGTTTATGTCATGACGTATCTTCGCTCCGTTGGACGAAAGGCGAAAACACGAGATGACTAAAATGTGTTTACTTTGCCTTATTGTCGTGTCTACGTCTGGCACCCCGCGGAGAGAAAGTACGACAGAATGCTAACATTGTCGTTTTTTTATTGACTGCAGCTCAAGGAACCGAAAGGCAAAATCACGAACATACGGCAACTTCACCATGTTATTGTACTTTCATGTTTTCGCCTGGCGTTCACCGGAACGAATGTTTGACAATGTAGACACCTTGTCTTATTTTTGTGTGTTCGTCTGGTACCCTGTGGAGCAAAAGTACGTAATGATACGGGTCAGCCACCATATTTATTATACCCCCACCACAAAAGGTGTGTGTGTGGGGGGGGGTGGCTATAATGGATTCGTTTTTGTCGCGTCCGTCGGTCCGTCCGTTCGTCTCCATTATCGTGTCCGCTCTATAAATCCTATACTAATTGAAGGAATAATTTCTTTTTATGTATATGTATTTGTGCCACTAAAGTTATTCCGTTAAACACCTTTTAAAGTCGTCTTCTGTCAAGGAAATGATGGGGGTATGAATCGCATTCAGCGATAGTTCTAGTTGATTTTATTGATTGTATTTGCTTTAAATATAGAACAATGCATTAATTAAGTTGATTAATTGTTTAATAATGTTTAAGCTCATTATTGTTGCAATATGGAAGAAAGAGTAAGTCTTATATACGAGAGATGATCAAGAAAGACCAGGAACTAAGCTATAAATTCAATACAAAATTATCAAAGTGACCTGTTACGTTGGTGAAAGTACGACAGTACGACGGTGACCGATGAGAGTAACAGAACGATGGTTACAGTGCGACAGTATAATAGACTGTCAATATCAAACTGTCGTTCTTCGCCATTGTACTGTCGTTATTTCAAGATCGTATGTCGCGCTTCGCCATCGCACTGTCATCATCGAACTGTAATGCTTCATGCTGGCCCTAACAGAACACCGTAGAATAAGGAGATTCTTGTGTCGTGTTTCTTTTGTCATATTATGTTTCTGAAGAGACTTTTCGAAATTTTCCAGACTCCTTAATGATGACGCTTTCAAATAAATAAATGTTCCTTGAGACTTAATTCCGAATTATAAACAAAAATCCGTAATTCTGGATCATCCATCGTACATGTAATTTATTACTTACCCATAAAAATGAAGGACGCAAGAAGAAAACGTATCATTTTTTCTGTAAAAAATCGAAAAGAACAAAAGTGAATAAAATCCGAATCATACCTTCGTGGTCAAGTCCTACGCATCATTAAAAATATTCTGCAATATATTAGACTGCACTGTTAGACATACATTTAAAACATGTCCATTACATGGACATATTGTAGTTATGAATTTACAACAGTTGTTTTAATTTCATTAATGACTGCAAAAACGTCTTCCTAATATCTCAATTTTTCATAAAAACCGCGACTTGTCTTTCACAGGTTTTTCTACAGTAAAATGTCTAAAACGCATGAAAATATTGTAAAGTGCATTCAAATCCACGTAACATTATATGCAATGTTTCCACTTGTGCTGCCATACATGGTTGGATTTTGGTATTCCTAATTGTAGGTCTTTTATCAATTAATTTCAAATTTTCCCTTCAATTGCTAATACAATATTGATCTATTAAAAATCTCACCGTTTCGCACTGCCACGTATTTTCCAAAAGAATGATTTAAATGGTTTAAATGTCAGTTAGATAAGAATAGTAAGATAAGACCTCTAACTTGATATAATTATGTTACTTGTAGTCACGAGTCTTTACAACTAAATGATATTTGCAAAGCACTTTTAAATAATTGAGCGAGCGATAAGCTATGCAAAGTTAGTCCTCTATTTTATAAGCGTTTTGCCGTTTTTCTCTTTTTTTAACTAAGACGAATATTAAAAAAGCCAATGCTATCGACATGACAATAGATCTCGATTTTTTGTTTTGAACAATAAGGTTAAACCCGTTATTGAAGAACGATTTTAAATTGCCAAGTGGGAAAATTGTTTACATACATCATTTCAAATATTATAAACAATAATCAATTAAATGTAGATTTGTAGAGTGCTATTATTTTAGTTTAAACATACTTATTCCCGAAAGTATACATAATGTACATATAAATTTATAACAAACAAAACACTTTTACACAATGGAAAAGGATGCGAATGAAAGACAAGTCTTATAGAATTCTTCTCCTTTGGCGAACTATATGGTTTGTCTTAAATAAGTTTATAGTTAGTATATACTAGTCAAGGGAATAAGTATTAATTATACACACATATTACATTTATAAATAAACTGATATAGAATAGATTAACTACAAGTAGATGGCTAATATTAAGAATATATATCAAAGAAGAAAACAAAATAGTGGAAAAGAGAAGAAAGAGGGTCAGAGAGGATTATAGTCTCAATAAGAATGGATCTAAGTAAATCTTTTCGTTTTTTCTATATAATTTTGTACATTTGTAAATATAATAACGTTGTCCTGGTATGTAAGAGATGGGTCACCATAGAGAAGTTTATGAAGGTTTATGCTGAAGTCTTGCAAGTTAATGAGGAGTGTTCTGCGGACGGCATCATATGCACAACACTCGAAAAAGAAATGTTGGGTAGTTTCAATTTACCCACTATTACACAAAGGGGTAAGAGAAATGTTTTTCAAAAACAGGTGGTGATTTAATGCGCTACAGTTCGTTCGAAGCCGAGTGTGAAGGATCTGCAGTTTACTACTACCTGTATTAAAGTATTTTGATGTATATTTTCTGTCCTTGTTTAAGAAAGTTTTAAATGAAGATATTGTAGGGCTGTTTCGTATTATAACAGGCAAGTTGTTCCAATCACGAATAACTGATGGCAAGAAAGAATTGTGGTACAGAGTAGTGCTTGATGTAATTCCTCTGATATCTTCAGAGTTTCGTAATCTGTACCGGGATAGGTCTGGATTTGGTATTAATGATGAGAGATAATCTGGAGTTTTGTTCGACTGCATATTGTAAAACATAATTAGTTTGTGTTTATATCTTCTTTCGGATAACGATTCCCAAGCAGAGTTTCTAGTGAGATAAGCTTGATTGCACCAGTTGCAATGCGTGCACATTCATTCTGAATCTTATCAAGCTGTTCGAGTTCATATTGGGTACAATTACACCAAATTACATCACCGTATTCCAAAATAGGTCTAATGAATGCTATATAGATAATTTCCAAAGATTTACGATCCAGAGAGTATTTCAGTTTACGCATTATATTAACCCTTTTCCAAACTTTATCAGTTATGTATTCAATATGTTTGTGCCATGTGCAGTCAGGAGAAAGAAAGATCTGGAATTATTTGTTGGTTAAACATATGCAATAAAGGATGATGCTGACGATTTCGCTTTCTGGTTACAAGTAGGGATTCCGATTTTGAAGGATTGAAGGTGACTAACCACCTTTCTGCCCATAAAGAGATTTTTTGGATGTCAGACTGAAGAAGTGTGGCTGCTGTGTTAGGATGTTCAACAATAACATAAAGACTGGTATCATCAGCAAAGAGGTTTATTAAAGATTCAATTTCATTAACAATATCATTTATAAAGATAAAAAATAATAGGGGACCAAGTATAGAGCCTTGAGGGACTCCTGCTTTGACAAAAGCCCATGATGAGTAGGCACCAGGTAGTATGATCCTTTGTTTTCTATCAGTAAGGTAACTATTAAACCAAGATAACAAAGATCCAGTTATACATGCGTGCTTTAGTTTCGAAAGGAGGCCTTTATGCCAAACCTTGTCAAACCTTGTTATTATTTTGGAATGTCATAAGGTACTGTATGATTACAAACGTATAAAATAGCTATGGAATTTATACTGTAAATATTAATAATATATTTGAAATGTATACCTCAATGGTATGGTGTAGCGATTAAATGATTTATTTTATTCATAATACATACAAGCAGGTTGTTTTATGAGTATTGCCAATACCAGTGGATTTTACAGGGTAATAATTGACAGGGCAAGCACACACAAATTTTCAATAAATATTACAAATTTTGAAAAAAAAAGAATATTCATGTTTGTGTTGAATATTTACTGTATTACATTTTTTTATTTTTACCAAGGAAGTTGTTTTGTCACGCACACTGATAAAGATTGTTGACAGTGAAAGATATTACGAGTACTAACATGCAACTAAGCTATTGGATGTACTTAGGTATTAACTTTCTTAATCTACGACTTGTTCATCAATTGTTTAGAAAGTTGACCCGAAGACAGTTGAAGATATCTTAAGTTCTGTTTCCATTGACCGCATTGTATTGTATTGTCATATTTTATATTTAGTGAAGATAAATTTAAATGCAGACATTTGCTATGTATTGTTCTGATACTGAGTTTTCAAAGGAATGAAACAATGAGTTAGTTTACTGGATATATTGTTAAAGCATTTATTGTCAACTAAGCTTACATTTATAACATAGATACAATTTTCATGTTCATAACTTAATTGCGTGTTTCATTGTGTTTCGTTTTCTATGTTTATCAAATGCTTAATGCTGTAATTAAATGTAGAACTGATGTTTAGTGTGTTTAATTGTTTATGTTTTTATTTCCTTATTATAATATAACGCATTGATGAAGTGTTGAATAAACTTTCGATATAATGGCTTAATTATAATTTATGGTCTTTCTTGATCATCTCTCGTATATTAAACCAACTCTTTCTTCCATATTGCAACAATAATAATGAGCTTAAACATAATTTAACAGTTTATTCATCTTAATTAAATGCATTGTTCAGAAACAAAAGCAAAAAAAAAAAAAAAAAAAAAAAATATGGTTATTCAGTTTAACATTTTTTCTGCATGATACCTTTTAGTTAGTTTAAACAAAATGTCGAACTTTAAAATGCTAAAATTTTAGAGTCAGTGTACCCGGTTCCGCACTGGACCCGGTCCCGCACACTTTCCCATTTTTCATTTTCTCTTAAAAAAATCAAATGAATTTACTCAGTTTTCATTTGTGTTTCACTGAACTGGCATGTTTTCAAGAGGATATGACATAATCTGGGATCTTGCACCCCAGTCTCTCCCTAGACAGTGCAGACGAAAATGTAAATACATGTACATGGCTGTGTAGTTCACACATAAAAACAACTTATTCACCAATTAAACCATGCTAATTTCTATTTTAATGTTAAGATCATTATAAAATATATATTTGAAAAGAAATGCATGTTTTTGTTATGGCAAATTTGCTGTTAGTTATGAAATATATGCACATGAATTAACTTCTCCTAACTACCAAACGTCAAGTCATTTCACCTAATGATTCTTTTGTTTAAAATGATACCAAACTCTTAATCGAACAAATCATAACTAAACTGATGAAAAAAACTTCAATAATAATGTTTTATGTCTGTCTTTACTACCTAGAAGTGGTAAAAAGTATATTTCAATTGCTGTTACATGTTTCCTGTGTGCTACTATGCTTGGAAATAAATGTTTGTATACTGTAGTAAGAATGTGCATTAAATTTATTTGAAGTCCTGAAAATTTGCAAAAAATATAACTTATCTCGACTTACAGATGTTAAATAATTTATAAAACATGTTTAAGATGTTAAATAATTTATAAAACATGTTTAAGATGTAAAATAACCTTTCAGTATAAAAATTGTCTTGTGTGCGGAACCGAGTCCACTATTTAACATATTTGGCCCATTCCTGTTGCTTAAAATCAAGTGCGCCTAGAAGTATGACCTACTTAAGATAGAAACGTTTCGGTAATCAGTTTTTATGGGCAAAGGATGTAATTTTCCAAATAATTTCTATTATAAGAAGAATTTTTAACTATAAGATAATTTTCTTATTTTTACTTAAAAAAGTGTACGACTCCGGGTACACTGACTCTAGAGACATTAATATTAAAATTACACCAACTCATCTCCCTGACTAAGCGGCTCTAATCTATTTTTTTTATATAAAAAAGACTGTTTCGGCGATGATGGATTTTGCTGCATAAAAGTCATCTATCGTGATTACTGATACTTATTACTACGGGTAGCTTAGGATATATTGCATATATATGATCCGTGCTAACAATGTTCATGCAAAGTTGCATCCATCTAACTTTATTGACACACTGTTACAGGTCAAAATGCGATTTTACTGCGACAAAATTGCACTATTAATAGAGTAATTCACAAAAAAGAATTTAATTTCATTTGCTTATGATGCATGTGAAGAATAATGTGAGACGGTTCAATCGACAGACCGACCGACAGTTCATTTCTGTCTACAACGGCAACATTTTCTCTCTGGTCTCCTGTATTATTCTTTAGAAAAAAAAAAACAAAGAAAAACAACACAACAAAACAATGCGTTGATAACTTGCTTGCATGATCCTAAATGATGCTTATGTGTACAGCACGAAATTCCTTCACTTCTTTCAACCTTACGATATTTTGTATAGTAAATAAGATTTTTTTATGGATTTTAGGAGCTATCAATTTTTACCTAAAAAATATATATAATTCACTGACAAAACGAGTCCAAAATTACCTAATACATGTAGTATCTCCTTTTATTTGGCAGTTTATCTATAGCAATGACATTGTTTTTTTGCGATAAGTTTTAACTATACAAAATGTATATATCCCTGTAGTTATCAGAAAATCATAGCTTCCTGTCATTACTGCATTATTCTGTCATCACTTGCACCCATAATACGGTGTGAACATGATCACATGCTATTATAGAAAACGACACGTTTGGTTTCGTGTTAT